AAAGAAAGAAAGAAAAGAAAATATATGCTTGTTACTTTAAGCTTGTGCTTGTTGGTTTGGTGGAGCCTTGGCCGCTCTTCCTCAAGCTCTGGCTGCCCCAGGGTGGCTCAAGAGTGGTGGCGCTGGCTCTGGACTCATCAGCCCCTCCTGCCTCGGTCCTTGCGCCCCTCTCTCTCCTGGCTGTCTGCAGTGGCTCCTCCTTGTTGTCTCCTGTGCTAGAGACACAACAATGAAGGACACTGCCACCAAACAGCAATTTCTGTCTTCTTAGGTAAAAAGTAATGTCAGGGGAAGCGTGCAAATGACAGCCAGGTGACCCCCTAGGGCTAGCTGGCATCTCTACCTGAGTCCAGGCTTGATGCCCATAGGGTCCCCCTCAGGCTTAGATGTGTATTTTACCTCATTTCACAGATACTGGGGCCCTGACCCATTTTAGCCTTAGAGGCTATCAGAGGGTCTAACAGACCATCTTCACTTTCACTTACAGAGATATTTCAATTTCTTTTAGGTAAAAAAATCCAACTTCCAGTCACAACCAAAGGACTTCAGAGACAGAGAGCGCCAAGGGCACACTGGTCAAAGTGACCAACCCAACAACCCCACCCCCAACTCGGAGCTTGCAGTCCCTATCAGCTAGGACTTCCCGGGTGGCCAAGATGCACGCTAGCTGGAAAATGCTTTGGTAACAAAAGCCAACAATGCCTTGGCTCCCTGTGACAGTTTTCAAAATGTCAAAAACTCAGTCTCAGCTCCCATCACCCCTTTAAAATGTATCCCCCAAAACTGAGTCTCCTTTGGCCCCCAGGCCCTAAGAAAGCACCCCCCAACCTTCTACACTTGTGCCTGGCCCTTCTACCCTTGGGAGACACAAAGATGGAGGAGAGCCTAGGCCTCAATCTTTCAGTTAAAAAATACTCCCTCAAGACAAAACTTCGGTCTGTGAGCCAGGCTACAGCTCTTGTCTTGCCTTGCCTTTCCTCCTTTCCCTTCCTTCCCCTCTCATCCCCTCCTTTCCCCTCTTCTCTCCTCTCATTTCCTCTCTTTTTTTGAGATGGGATCTCACTGTGTAGTTCAGGCTGGTCTTGAACTCACTCTGTAGCCCAGGCTGGGCTTGAACTCATAGCAGGCCTCCTGCCTCAGCCTCCTGAGAGCTAGGATTACAGCTGTGTGCCATCATGCCCAGCACATTTGTACTTCTTGCTGTTTCTCTAACCTTAATAACACAGGACCTCTATTGGGGTTCCTTGGGCTCTGTCTTTATAGTGTCTCCTTCCAATACATATAAAACTATAGTAAAAAGATGGGAGACCTTACTACCTGTCCTGGGGGTGGGAGGAGGAACCCACACACAAGTGACACATACTCAACTTCTCTCAGTCCTCTTTTTGATAGGAAAAAGAAACATCCTAACAACTCAAAAATGTAGACAGAATCCATGTTAAAACAAAATAAGACCACTTGTCATGCCAGGTTCTCTCGCCTGACGCTGGGCTGTGTCCACAACAGCACAGGACGCTATTGTAGCCTGGGTCTCCCCTGTCACCCTCATTGCAGAGATGGCCAAGTAGCACACTGTGGCACCAAGTTGTGTCAGGCCCACACCATACCATTAAAAACTTGACTGGGTACAGGGGCAACTGATTTTCTAAAACCAGACCTTTCTCCATAGGCCCTTGGTCACGCCGAGACCCGCATATCCCCTGTCACAGGTTTACAATCATATTCAAGTTTGATGGGCAACTGGGCAGAACCACCTCTGTCGCCCTGCCGGAACTGGGCTCTCTGCCTCTGTGGGGGGCGGTTCCAACACATTCTGCCTTTCCTATGGAGAAAGAGGTGCGCTGTCGTTGGTGCCCTCCCCGACATCCAGTTCTTTAACCAGTCCACCTTCCCTACATCCAGATCCATCTGTGATCTGAGACCCTTCCCAAAACAGTCCATCACCCCATCTCAGATCAAAAACTCCATCTAGGTGCACTGGGGCTGGGCTGCACCTTCAGGGGACCCTCTGCACAATGTGGACATTGTGTCTTCCCCTCTGTGATTTTAGAGTCTGTGTACTAAATCTCTTATTTTCTTTCCTTTTGCTCAGAGTCTATTAAATTTCAGAAAGTCATACAAACAAAGCCCACCTAAAGACCCTCCTGAGCCCTTCTGGTCGCTCCCATGCGACACGAAGCAGCTCTGTTGTCATTACCCCTTTTCCCTAACAGCAGTGAGGATTTCAGAGGAGAAAACATAACAAAAATGAATAAAACAGCAGTTAAGTTTCTATTAGGCAATAAGGCAACAAATGGAGGCAAAAAGCCCCAAATAAAGCTCGCTGAGTCCGACTCGTCAGGGATCCTACAGAAACGTCTAAAGGTGTCCTTTGGCTGTTAGGGGCCTCACTGGAGCATGACAAGGAAGGGCACTGGCTCCTGAGCACTGCGTGGGTGCTACATAGATAGAACCTAAAATATATACCTCGCCTCCTATAGGGTACAGATTATGGGTTTTTTTTTTTTAATGTATTTAGTACAAGGTCTATAGGGTCTCACTGCGGAAATCAGTAGTGATCCTCCTGTTTTCAGCCTCCCAAGCACTGTGATTACAGGCGCACACCACCACGGCTGGCATGGCACGTGGGGGATTGAATCCTCCAGCGCCCGTGTCTGCCTAAGCAGGCACTTTAATCTGCTGAGCTGTCTAGCCGGCCCGGAGACTGTGTTGAGCTCCTTTCAAAACCCTTAAACACTCCTAGACAAGCGCCTCCTGCTCAGGACGCCTCCCACCCAGCGGGAGCTCTATGTCTTAGGCTTTGTGTCTTTCCAACGGATTTGCTTGCGCCCCATCTCCTGCATCTGCAGTGTCACCCTGTGTCTCTGTGAGACACAGCCCTGGCATCCCAGTGGCAGCACTGGTTAGAAAATAAACCACCGCTTCAGGGCTTTCCCCCTCTGGACATGTTGTGACTCCTGAGCTTCTGGTTTGTTAGGGAGTGACAATGTGACAGCCAGGTCCCTAGGCATGGACATGCTGAGCACTTGGGCAGAATCTCGGAGCACGCATTGGCAGGCTACCTGAGGAGACCCACCCGGGTCAGGTTCCTTTGGTGCTGATTACCGGTCTCACTGGAGTGGTGTCCCCTACCTTGGTCGCACGGTGCCTACCTTGATGTGAAATCTTTCAGCACGGGCTATGAAACGTACCGGACATCCAGATACAGTGGCGAGGTCTGCAGCCAACTCACAAGACTTGATCAGGTCCTCAATCACTGCCAGAGCTTGGTGGAGTCTGGAGGAGGGGCCAGAGTCCTCGGTCTTCTTTGGCATGTCCTGTGGAAGAGCACATGTCTAGTGGGAAACCAAAATTGTGCGGTCCACCAAGCGAAGACACAAGATGGGACAGAGCCAAGGAGCCCAGCCCCAGCTGGCACTGACTGGAAGGTGGGCACCTCGCTCGGCCTCCGTGGTCCCCGGGAAAGGTGGCTAAAGCTCATGACATGCGTGTGACCAGTGAAATCCTGTGCATGGCACTAATGGCTGGTGAAGCTTGTGAAATTACAAGCGTTGTATTCCCGCTATAGAAGAAACAGACAGAACATAGCTATGTCAAAACTTGAGAAAAACTAATCTCTTTAAATAGCTTCTTTTCTTCTAGCCTCTGTACCTCCTCAGTCTCACTGAAAAAGTTAGCAATGACTTCTGGGACAGAGCCACAAACGGTGGCATCTGCCAGGTCTGGACTGCCTCCTGCCCTCTGCCCCCGTCTTGCCTGCATCCCACTACAATTGGTGATGCTGAACCCATTCACCGACGCCACCTGCCCCCGACACACGGACCAGCATTCACCGTCAATTACGGAGACTGGTGTCCCCAGGAGTATCGCTGTGGGCCTTAGGACAGATGTGGCATGGTGACACAGCTCCAAAGGTTGGCATTTATTTATTCCCCTGCTACATAGATGGTTTGCTTATCTGTTACATGATAAACAAGAACAAAAAGATTCTGGTCTAGTCTGGATAATTTTTCTAATGCTTTAATTTCTCCAATAAAGGGCAGAAATCTGTTTTCTACTTCTAGTTAGCTATTGGCTTTTTTTTTTTTTTTTTTTTAATCCTTTACTACATGGTATAGTAAAAAGGCAGTCATTCTTTCCTATTTGAGACAAGACCTCGCTGTGTAGCCCAGGCTGGCCTCACACTCGTGGCGGTCCTCCTGCCTCAGCCACCTGAGTGCTGGGATCGCAGGTGTGCGCCACCACGCCTGGCATATTTTCCTATTCTCTGTGGAAGCACTGGGCGTGGGCATCTTTGAGTCAGAGATGGGCGTTAAGAATGGAACAGAACAAGTTGCCTTCCCTGTACAGCGTGCCGTGAACTTGTTCCCTCCTCCCCTAATTAAACAGATTCTAGCTCCTGATGAAAGACCAGGGCCAGCCCCTGAGTTCCTATCAGCATCAATGAGCAGGCGTTTTCTTCCTTACTCAATACTTTCATCTCTTCTCTACCAGCCTTCCTGTCACACGCCCACGTGGCCATCTGTACCCTGTGTAATGCAAGGCTCAGAAAAATCTTTAGGCACTCTATGAGAGTTTCAACCCTAGGCCTAGCCTTCTTTGTTCATGTTCCTAAAATTATTACTTCTACCTTGAATATCTTCTGTTCTCTACGGCGACTATTTCTATGCCATAAGCTGTGCCTCAAGATTTTCTATTATTTTTAAAATTTATGTATCTGTTACAGGGTCTCACTACGTAGATCGGACTTGTAGTGATCCTCCATTTCAGGCTTTCCAGTGCTGGGGTTATAGATGGGAGCCACCATGCCCAGCCTCAGTGGCTGGCTCAGCATACCTGTGGGAGGGGCCGGCTGGCGTGTGGTACTGGGGATCAAACCCCGGTCCCTGAGCTTGTTTAAGCAGGCACTTAGTCCACTGGGCTATCTTGCTGGTGCTTCAAGATTTTCTTATTAGAATAATACTGGATGGGAAATGGAAAGGAAAACTATTCTTCAAAACCTGGTGTGGGGCTGTTCAGATAGCTCAGCAGATTAAAGCGGCTATTAGGCAGATGCAGGGACTGGGCTTTGATCCCGGGTGTATGGTGCTGGCCCCGCCCCCAGGGTGCACTGAGACAGCGATTGAGACTAGGCTTGGTGGTGTGTGCCTGTAATCCCAGTGCTTGGGAGGCTGAAAACAGGGGAATCACTATGAGTCCAATCTGTGTAGTGAGACCCTGAAGACTCTGTACTAAAAAACAAAAACAAAAAAACCCTGGTGTGGCTACTGGTTCCTGCAAGGGAACCCAGTAGCTGTTAGGACTTGCATTCACAGGCACACACATGCATGTGCGCACGAGGAGAACAAAGCAGGATGAATGCAAATGAGATATGCTAGAAGCTTCAAAGAAGAACACATAACCCTCACGTACCCTTGCTGTGCAGGAAACCACAGCCGAGGCCATACGGCATTTACTTTCTGTCTCTTATGTCTGCATTTTATATATCCATCAATTTCTTTTCTAGGGTGTGGAGATCAAACCCAGGGCCTCAAACATGCCAGGCAAAGGCTGTACCACTGAACTACATCCTGCCCCCACGTCTGCTTAAGTTTGAATTCCCATTAAATCTTTCTTAGTTGGAAGGAGGGAAATATTACTGCTTTTCACTGGGCTGCAAATTCCTACTTCAAAATTCATTTTTTCCTTGACTGTGAGTTACAAGATACATACTGTGTTAGAAAATGTAGATAATAAATATCGTCAGCAAGGGAAATGAATTGCTGTAAATCCTCCCATCGTAAGCAAACGCCATCAGCAGTTCCCTCTGTAATGTGATAGTTAGCATCCAGTACCTCAGTCGGGCTTTCTTCTGGGTCGACCTCCACATCTTCAGGAGACTCCAGATCCAGCAGACCCTGCAGTAACCCAAAAATCCCTGCTGAAAATCAAGAGGGGGGCTGCTGACAAGGCCTGTGACCTGCAGGCCAGGTAAACCCACTTCCTGGGTGTAAATTTGTAAGAGGAAAGAATGAACTCTCTCTCTCTTTTTTTTTTTTTTTTTTTGCGGAACCAGGGATTGAACTCAGGCCCTTGTGCTTGCCAAGGAAGTGCTTATTCTACTGAGCCATCTCCCTGGCCCCATGAATGAACTCTTGAGCACAGAGTTCTTTCCACAAACACAGAATCCCATCACACACACACTTTTCTCCTGTGGCTTTTTGTCACTCAACAATATTATCGGGAATGCTCCCTGTGCCACTGTATTATTCTAAAAATTTTTTTTTAAAAAAATGTATTTAGTATGGGGTTTACCGGGTCTCATTACACAGATCAGACTCATAGTGAGCCTCCTGTTTTCTGCCTCCCAAGTGCTGGGATTACAAGAGAGTGCCACCAGGCCAGGTCTCAATCACCATTTCAGCATGCCCTGGGGGCGGGGCCGGCACAGCAAGGAGGGCGGTATGGGATTGAACCCCTGGCCCATGCGTCTGCCTAAGCAGGTGCTTTAATCCACTGAGCTATTTGGCCGGCCCTTAAAACATGGGTTTTCTTTCTTTCTTTTCTTTTTTTTTGGCGGAGGTGGGGATTGAACTCAGGCCCTGGCGCCGGCCAGGAAAGCATTTATTCCACTGAGCCATCCCCCCAGGCCTAAACATGGGTTTTGATTGTGACAGATACATTGCATCCTACTGATAAAGCGGAATTAAATGTGGATCTCAGTCTTCTCTACCATGAAATACTTAGGTTTGACCATTTTTTTTTTTACCATAATAAACAATTTGCACCCTTTTTTCCCCAAGGATAAATTTCTAGAAGTAAAATCGCAAATGCTAAAAGTGTGAGGCATATTTCCACTGTATTCTTTGAAACTATCAACCAAGGGTGGTGCTAGCGTGCACTGCGCATGACCATTTAATCACACATCCCTGCCCACTGGATGAACAGAGAAATCCCACCTCACTATTATTCTAATGTGAATCTCTCAGATAGTTAATGCCTCTTGTTTTGGTACCAGGACTCAAACTCAGGATCTTGTGCTTGCCAGGCAGGCGCTTACGCCCGAGGGTTGGGCAGACCTTGAGCTGTAGGGACCAGCTCTGACTCCACAGGTGGGAGGAGCAGGGCACGGGCCAGGCATCTGATTCCCCAGCCCCAAAGGGCATTGTCCGTTGCCGTTACCTTCAGTAGCGTCTGATATTTTCTCAGTCTCTGGCTTGGTCCTTTAAGATACTTAAAAAGAGGGAGGCTGTGGTCCAGTTGGCGCTGGCACACCTTTAAGAGACGAAGAGAAATGCCATAAAGCAAGACAGACAGACCGCACGTGGTGACAGAACAAAAGCAGCCGCATCAGATACAAGAGTGGAACAAGCACCTGGTGGGCGAGAGGGACACAGAGCCTGCTGGCCCCCCAGTGGCAGGGGTTTTCTGATCCCCCCAAACAACATGTGGAAACGGAAGCTACAGGAAGGGCCCGGCTCAGACAGTACTTTTATAGACAACCAGGGAAGCAGGGCCATTGTTCCTTTGTGTGTGCTAACGCACCCACGTTGGACATGTCAGTCCTTCTGAAAGGAAGGTAGTAGTCTGTCTTTGAAGTTGGGGGGAGTAGCATCTATTCTGGTCATTTGGAGTCTGGAGGGTACAGATGGCTTGGTGACGACATTCCTGGGAGCCTTAAAAGAGGACATTCCTCAGTTGGTTCCCTTTTCAAAACCCAGCCTAAAAGAGGATGTTGGTTTTTCAGTGGACCACAGCAGCTCCTCGTGGGCCTGGTCTGGAGAGGCCAAGGGCACTGGACCCCTCACACGTCACCTGGAAGCGTGGGGACTTCACACAGGCAGGAAGCCCCATGCCAAGTTTCTCTGCCTTGCGCAGACTTCCGATTTCTTCAGGAATGCACTGCATAGAAACCTTTTCCAGGGAGAAGAACTGGGAAACTCTGGAAGCTCTACATTACCCCAAAGTAAGCGCAGTCCTGACACTCTTGCCAGACCGCCCGTGCACGCGGCAGGTTCTTATGGTATTTAAAATACATCTGGAGGTCTTCTTTCTGCATGGGAAGAAGCAGAGCAAATTATCCAGGGAGTGAGCAGGGTGATTCATGCATCCAACAGGCCTGACTATTTCAGTGTGTGAGGCAATGGGGTGCACTGTGAATGACATTATATTGGGGTGAGTCTGGGGTGGGCAGTGAGTTGAGAGGGCTATAACCCCCTAAATTCTCCCCCACACAAGCATGCTACTCATGTGTGCAAGGGCTTCTCTGTCTGTCTGTCTGTCTGTCTGTCTGTCTGTCTGCGTCTTTTTGTGTTTTTTGAGACAGGGTTTTGCTATGCAGTTCAGGCTGGCTTGAAAGCACTCTGTAGCCCAGTGAACTCACAGTGATCCTCTCGCCTCAGTGACCGAGTGCTGGGATCACAGGCATGTGCCACTATATCTGGCCCAAGGGCTCTTGATAAGTAGTAAATTCAGACAGGAGCTGGTGTTTATCTTCATCCCTGGCTGTTTGCCCAGGAAACCACGATTTCTCAGGGAGTGATATCTCCCCAGCAGTAAATCTGACAGAAAGTGCTGGGGGCCCCTCCCCTTCCCGCGACACCCTCTCCCCACCCATCACAATGCCAACAAAGAGAACTAAGTAGCGACCAAAAACTGCAGACCCCTTAAAAGTTCAGATAACCGGCTGGGGAGATAGCTCAGTGGAATGAGTGCTGAACGCTGGCTCACACAGCCCAGGAGCTGGCCACAGGGAGCATCCTGCTGTGCTGCAGAGCAGGCTGCAGAACACGATGCGGTGACCAGGAGGCCTTACCTACATCCCGGCTGTCAGGGCTTGCACCTATCAGCTCCGATATCTGGGGTTTTCCACTCCTCTGAACATGAGAAAACCTTTGTGCTCTGTAGGAATTTACTGTCTGCATTTGTCCCCAGTATCATACATTGCACAAGATTAGAAGAGAATTCTGCAGCCTAGAAGAATGATTTCTGAAGTTTCTCCCAAAGGGAGTCAGCAGAAAAAAGGCCATAAAACTTCTGAAGAGGAATTTGGTCTGGAAAAGTGTCCAATCAGCAATTCCCTGACCATTTCCTCAGATGTGGATGATTTTGGCCACGCCCACCTCTTCCCCTAGGAATCTTTTTTTTTCTCATTCAGCTACTTAATCAGTCTTGGCAAGAATGACGTGAGCAGCCCTGTGCTCTGGAACCAGATTTCCCAGAAGTGTAATGAGCGTGCATGTGTGAAATAGTCCGGAAACACTAGGATGTTGGAATAGCATTTCAAAAAGGTAAAGACTAGACTGAGAATGAAACAACTTGGAGTGTGTCTTTGATTCCAGCCCTGAGGAGAAGCCTAGGGAAGCCAGGCTGGGAAGCTCAGGTGGACGCGGGACTCGGTCTCCCCATCACGTCAGCCCCCCACGGCCTGGGACGCTTTGTCTGCTCACCTGCAGTTTGTTGCGTGTGCTACGCTCACGAGCATCAGCCATCATTTGGGTATTTTATTATTTGTTTATTTGAGGTAGGTTTTGCTTATAGTGGAGGCTGGCCTTGGCCTTGAACTCACTACATAGCCCACCCAGGTTGCCCCAAACGTGCAGCCATCCTCCTGCCTTAGCTTCCCGAGTGCTGGAATGACAGGTGTGTGCCACCACGCCTGGCTTCAGCCATCATTTGGGTATCTCAGAAACTTTACATTGTGTAGCTGTTGATTTGGGCTCACAAAAAAAAAAAAAAATAAGTAAGTTGAGAATTAGGGCGTGTTGGGAAAGAGAAGAAATGGGAAAGGCTGGGAGGACGCCAGCTCAACGTCCAGAAAGGGCAGGGTGGGGAAGACGGTGTGGTGAGTGGCTCCTCCAGGCCAGCTGCCCGGGCCTGAAGGTGGGGTCCAGAGAGACAGGCAGGGAAACGGGGAGATCCTGGGATGGGGGAGAAGAGGTAACAGGAAGTTTAAAATTGGCTGCTAAGCATAAGAAAGGCTATAGAGCCAGGCATGGGACGCACACGCGTAACCCCAGCAACACTCAGGAGGCTGAGGCAAGTGTGTCACCATGAATTTGAGGCCAGCCTGGACTACATAGTGAGTTCAAGGTCACCTTGAAATACACAGTGAATCTACATAGTGAGTTTACCCTGTCTCAACAAAGCAAAGAAAAACAAATAGAAAAAAAGCAGGCTACAGATTTAAACATGTAATCATCCTCTATTCTATAAAATGAGAGAAAATGTTTTCTGAGATTTTTAGTTTGACACCAAAACCTCTCCTCTTGAGGGCATTAATAAAATTTAGTGTAGGGCTTTAAGCCAGTTGCATGGTTCTTAATTTTTTTTTTTTTGTACCAGGAATGGAACTCAGGCTCTTGAGCTTGCCAGGCAGGTGCTTGTGCTGCTGAGCTGTCTCCCCAGCATACTGCATGGCTCTTGCCCTGAGCACAGTCAGCTTTCCTTAGAGGATCACCCACTTGGGGGCCCCCTGGGGGGCCATCCTTCTACTCACAGGCTTGGCAGGAAGTCAGGCACGCAGGTGTTCCCACTCTTGGCGTGAGCACGGTCAAGCCCAACTTGTTCTCATGCTGGATGGAGTGAGGGGCAGTGGGGGGCCCCTGGGACAGCAAAGGACACCTGGCTGCATCTAATGGACAGTGGCAGATCTACTCTCACAGCAGATTTCAAGTATACCATTCAGTATTATCAATTATACTATATACTGTATCTCTAGAATGTACCCATAACTGAAACTTTGTGCCTTTGGACCAACATCTCATTTTTCCTACCCCCAGCCCCTTACAATCAGCCCTTCAGTTATGGCTTGTACCTAGATGTCCCCCCTTATGCAGTCATAGGTGGGCTTGTCAGAGGTAGCTGGGTTTAGGATGTGTGAATATGGATTAAGTGTGTGATACTGGGGTTAAGTGTGTACATAATGAAAGCCCCACCCTGGTTGTGGGGGGCACCAATCAACAGGCTTGCAGCCTGGGTGGAATATAAAGGGACAGAAATAAGGCAGGCAGGCCCTGTTGCTGCTGCAGCTGCTGTTTGCTGCTTTAATTCCTCCTGCCGGCTTGCCATGGACTGTTTCTCCTCCTTGATGCTCCTCTGTCATTCCACCCTACCTCGGAGCCCACCAGCCATGAACTGAAACCTCTACAAACCGTGAGCTAAATACACTTTTCTTCTTTTAACATTGTGCATCTGGCATTTCGTTTCAGTGATAAGAAAAGTAACTAAGACATCTTTTAATCTCTGCTTCTGTGAGTTCAACTTTATCACATTTCTCTCTCCTCTCTCTCTCTCTCTCTCTCTCTCTCTCTCACACACACACACACACACACACTCACACACACTCACCCCCCATGATAACTATGCAGGAGATAGGTATGCTAATTAACTCAACTGTAGGGGCCGGGGAGATGGCTCAGTGGAGTAACTCAATTGTGGTAGCCATTCTACAGTGGATTCCGGGATCAAGTCATCACGCTGTACTTAGAGCATCTGCAATTTTCATTTGTCAGCTGTATGTCAACAAAGGCAGAGATATTTTGCCACCTTTGGGGTTTCCCTTTGACCTTGCCATTTACACAGAAAAATAAAGACTGGCTTTATTTTAGGTGTGTGGGGAGGGCGACTTACTCTGTTGAGAAAACAACATGCCAGAAGTTTAGGGTTTTCTGCACACTTTTCCAAGTCTTTTAGAAAAGTCCTAGGGAAATAAAAGTATAATACAGTAATGTCTTGATTGTGTTTTTTTACATGTATGGATTTAAAAATGTTTGTAAGTAAGATCACATAATTTCAAGGAGAAGCTAGAAAAATGCTCCAGGCTTTATTGCTCTCTGCTCATCTTCTCTGCACTGATTTGGGAGACAGCGATGTGTCCAGAGCACTCCTGCGCCATGAGCCTGCTCGCGGCTGTGGTGCTCATTGGGGGCAGGGCCAGAGATGGGCAGGAGGCTGCCTGAGGCCACCAACGCTGTTGTCATCACTGTCACCTTCACCCAGTCCCTCCAAGCCAAGGTTTCGTGCATGTGAAACCCAAGGTCCTAAGAGGCTGAATTACTGCGTTAGGGAGAGTAGCGGATACTGGATTCTACTTCTTTGCATCTGATGGATGGACAAGGGATGGCATTAGGAGACAACTAGGGCTCGTTTGGGACATGAACATTTCCTGAGAGCAGTATCACTGGGGGGCAATGGGTTACGGGCAGGTGTCGAGTCATCTTTGCATCTCCAGTGCCGTGCACTGTGCCTGGCACAGAACAGACACATGAGAAATAGACATACATTAAATAAACAAGTAAAGGAACACACAGCCCAGACAGCCTGGCTAGGTGACACCCAGCACACACCCATGGGTGTCTTCTTCTTCTGCCTCAGGGCTCGCGCCATGTTTATTTCCTCCTCTCTCCCCTCCTTGCCTGAACCAACCCCCCTGCTCAAGCTGAGTAACATTCAATTGTCTCACGTCCAAGTTCTGCCATCCCAGAAATTCCCACTCGTCACCGTATCTCTGGGCAATATGGATCATCATATACCTGTTGTGAAATTCGTAAAGCTCCTGAATGTTCCCAAAAAGAAAGTCCTTGTTGTTCTGCAAAATATCTGGAATCAGATGCTTTAGCCAAATAAAATCCATTGGAGTGATGTAGCCCTGCAGAGATGGAAATAAGATGGGCGTTACAGTCAGTATAAAAGAGACGACCTAAATCAGCGACTCTTAAGGGGCAACACGCGAGGGCAACTGTTGAGAAATATAGTGTGCCTGCTTGCGGAGATCTGGGCTACCGGATGCTCTCGTTGGATGCCATTTTCCTCATGATATCAGAAGGTCAGAGCTTCCTGGCAATGACAAAACAGTATTTTTTTTTTTTTTCCAAAGGGACTTTTTTTTTTGGTCTTATTTTCACTATTTTCTTTTTTGGTACCGGGAATCGAAACAAAACAGTATTTTAAGGGGAAGAACAAACATGTTTTTAAGTGCTAATAAGTTACACAAGTTGTACATGACAAGCAGAAACTTACTCGCCGTTTTGTGATGGGAAACTGTTCTCAAGTCTTGCTGAATCTCCTTCATAACTTGTACAAGGCTCACTTTATATGGTTATAATTATGATATGTATATAGTTTTGTATTTTCTCCTCCAAGTATATTTTAGGCTCAATTTAAAAAGCTCTACATATTGTCTTTCTCTTAATGAATAGAAAGATTTGTTCTAACAGTGTTTGTGGACAGGATATCATGTCTGCATCTTGTACTATGAATAACCACTAAGAAGACAACAATATGCAATGCGTTAATTATTGAAACTGTCCTACTAATTGGTTTTGAAACTGTCTTATTGCTATTTCTCAATAAAATTATTAAAAAAATAAAAAAAGGAAAAGCTATACATATTATTAATTTAGGCTTCTACCAGGAACATTTTAAAATGTTGCTACATATTATCTAAAATGACTCTTAACTGATGAAAATATTTATTCATCACATATCATACTTTTTGTTGTTGTTTTTTCACCAGATATCTTTTATTTATGATAGTTACACCCACGATAAGTTCAATTCAGTCCTCGCTCCCTTTTATTAATACGGAGGAAAAAAAAAAGACAAAGCTATTGTTGCACCACCATGTAATAAATCCAGAACAATTTTTTTTGAAAGGTTTCAATTCTTTATCATACTTTTAAAATCATCCTCCTCTTTTAGGGATAGTTTGATTACTTCTGAATTTTCCATTGTAAAAACCATTCTCCTCTTTCAGGGATAGTTTGATTACTTTTGAATTTTCCATTGTAAAAATGCTATGGTAAGCCAAGGGTGGTTGTGCACACCTGTAATCCTGTACTCCAGAGGATGAGACAGGAGGATTGCTGTGAGTTCAAGGCCAGCCTGGGCTAACATAGTGAGTCTGCATTACATAGAAAACTGTGTCTAAAACACACACACACACACACACACACACACACACACCCCTAAGGCAAATAATTTTTGTAAATGTAGTCTCTTCCTAGTGGTTATTCCATTAGGAAAAAAGACAGAAAATACACGTTTTTAAGGGGGAAAATCTATTTTAAAAACAAGTAGCAGGTGGTGGCTTATGCCTGTAATTCCATCATCAGGAGGCTGAGGTAGTAAAATTTTGAATTAGAGGCCAGCTTGAGCTACATAGCAATATCCTTGGAGAGAGAGAGAGAGAGAGAGAGAGAGAGAGAGAGAGAGAGAGCCTGAGACAGAGAGAGAGAGGTCTCTCAGTATCGCAAACATTTTTGTCATCCTCTGCTGGCAAGCATAGGTGAACCAATACAGGCAGTGGTAGAAGCAGTAGGAACTGGCATAATCCGAATCCTCGGGACCTGTGAGTCTACACAGATCAAGAGCCGTGATGTCTGTATTCCTACTGGACAGACACTTGTGATAGGTGACCTCAAGCCTTAGGGGGATCCAGAAACACAAACAAGTATTTTGAGTCTTTGTGTGCAGTGAAACTTCTTGCTTGAGTAAACTGCTCACCACCCTCCACGTACTTACATCAATGATGCCCTTCATTTCCTTTATATAGGTCTCTTCCGTCTCGAGCAAATCACGTAGCAGGCGCCTGAGTCCCAGCAGCAGGAGGCAGATTGAGAAAGAAAGAGAGCGGGAGGGGAAGAGTACAGCTTTAGGATGCTTTTGGAATCATGCCCTTGTACATTGCCCCTGAGCAGCTCACGCGCTGCAGGCCACGGCAGCTTGTTCAGTGCCATGGGACTGCACCCGGCATCTCACAGAAGCACGCTGCAGACCCCTCCACACCATGAAGAAACAACACAGCTGGAAGATGCCACACCCATTTGGACACCCCTTGTCCTTGGGGTGGACCACGAGGTACAGAGGGGTCGGGGGTGGGCACTGGGGCAAGAAATCTCACGCTTGGTCAAGAAAGGTCTGCTCGGCGCCTACGCTGTGGGTGGCTGTCTGGATTTTCTCTGCAGCTTTCTCCCGTCTCATCACTTCTCACATCAAGAACTCTGACTGCCTGCATGGGGCTAGTCTTGGTACTTGGGGTTAGATGGGCCATCCCACCTCCTTCCTCCAGCGTTGAGTGTTTCAGTGTGATTTCCTCTTCCGAAAGCTACAGGCTCTATTTTTCTGGAAGGCAGGTGAGGATGTGGTGGGGAGAATCCTAAGATGCCTCTCCAAATTTCTGGCTCCTCGTGTGCAAACACCTCCTCCAAAGGAGTAGCTCACACGCTTGTTAAGTGCCCTGGTCCCAGGACATCACTGCCCAGTTGATCTTGAGAGGAAATCTTTTTTTAAACAGGATCTCAATATGTAGTCCAGGCATGTTTTAAACTCACTACAGAGCCCAAGCTGGCCTCAGACTTGTGGTGATCCTCCTGCCTCAGCCTCCTGAGTGCTGGGATGCCACCACACGTGGCGAGATACGTGACCTTGAGTTGGGCCTGTCCTAGCCATATACATTACTTAGGTCTGGACCTACAGTCAGAGGTCGAAAGCA